TACCAGTGGTGGGGTGCGCTGCTGTGCGCGAAGCAATCGATGTTGGAATCAGATAGATATGTATGTTTTCAAAGTTTCGGTACGGTGAATTGTGTGCGGCGCGTATTCAGGGTATTTAATCGACTTTTGGGCTTTCGTGAAAGATCTCGCAGAGGTAAAGAGTGAACCGTTCAAGTTGTAAGTGTCGGGTCTATTATCTTGTAACTGGTAAGTGGCTATCTTGAGATGTGAACACTGTTGAAAGAAAAAGAATTTGTCTTTTCACTTAAGAAGCAAAAGAAATAGTACTACCTTTGAGTCAAGATGAAAACCTTCTCATGCGTTAAAACACTGCGAGGAAAAGAGGATCTTGTAGGATTGAATTCGCTGTATTGATGTTATCGTCAACTTCCTGCTTAAGATGTGGTTCACCCACTAAAGCTCCAACTAGGACTGAGCCGAACCTCAACATGGATGAGAGCTTAGCGCCAAAAAAAAATGAAATCACGTGAATCTCAAGCGAGTGACTCTTGGGCTTCAATTCAAAGTTCTCGATGGTGTATGATTGTCAATTCTTAGACAAACTGAAAATATATGCTTTATCTTTGACTTTTTAATCAGTTTTGTTGAAATTACATGATAGTATTACATCCTCAATACTCTTCAGGTTCTATAAAGTGGGGTTTCTATCTCATTTAAAGCATTACGGTCTTGTTCCAGGTATAAACAATGAGTACTGCTAGATAGGTAGTACTTGCTATGTATGACGAGACGGCACTTGGTTGTCTCTTACATCAGTTAACTTTGCTCTTGGAATGCTTTCAGTCTACTCTGTTTCATGTTTTGAGTCCATTGACCTATAGGATGGTTACTTCAAATCTATTCGAAACAAGTAAATACTCTCAATCTTCATGCTCCTGTCCAACTGGATTCTGATGAGGTAACATCCGTCCTTATCTAAGACTAAAAACTGTGCTATATGGAATATGGAATATGGAATATGGAATACATTTGTCCCATGTTATATATGCAAGAAGCCTTTTGTCCTATCTTTTGCTGCATTTTAGATTCTCGAGTCCCAACATCCTGCAAGGCTTTATTTGATCTGGAATTCTAGATTCATCCAATCATCAATATCTCATTTAACACAACTAGATTCATCCTTTCAGCATAATCTCACAAGTTGCGGGCGGTTAGTCAAGTCGATGGGGTTTTTACGCACAACTCCGGATCAAACAGTTACTTTTCAGACGGTCCGGAGAAGTCACTATGTCTGTCTGAAGGAGCAGCCACGAATCCGAAAAGAAAAACTGTTTAGTTGTTAAACGACTACTCTTGAGTGAAACCTGGGGTACGACGACACGGGGGTATAACTCAAACTGGTTGAAAGCTAACCCAACCAACATTAATCTCGGGGAAACTTTCAAAGGTACAAATTTGTATCACCAATCGGATCATGATTTAGGTTGGGTGGTGATTGGAACTTCCCTTCAAGCAGGGTATATCTGCGAGTGAGCGCGGGGAAGACTACCAATGCTGAAGTTAACCCTCCAGGAAACGCTCGCTTCCAATGTATTGAACGTGGAGTTATAGGTCTTACTGCATACTCAATATTTTCAATTTCCCTCAATGAATCGATCTTTTCTTGAAACCCCGGCATTGGGAAATATGAATACGACCCTAGATATAAGTTCCTTTAGTTGCAAGATGTATAATCATTCCCAACGAATTAGTTATCTAATTTGATGTTCAGAGTGATCTGATATATGCATGATTTGTCTAGACTTGTTAGCTTTTCTGTATATATCATGATATAAGGCTAGAATTTTCCCCTCCTTTCCCGGATTTTCACAACGAGGAATTAAAACTCCGCCAAAATCGACATTCATAACAATTTAAATTAATATAGTCGAATATCATCAACATCACAACATTACGAGATATCAATTTAGGATCCTCGAGGTCTTCGCAAGTCCCCCCATCATTGGTCTATACGATACGGAAGTACTCGTACAATATTAGAAAACCCTTGACGCCCAAATGCCACTGGGTCGCTCAATCCGATCGATTTCTAGGATTTGCTTGTCTTTCTACCTGGTTTCCCGGTTGGATTTAATGCATAGAAAGGACTTTCCCATGATTCCACGTGCTATCAATCTGTCACTCGAATATACGAAGCTATATAGTCTCCAGCCCGATACGTATTAACCTGACTACTCGCCTTGCTATCTTACTACTTCTGTACATGGTCAAGAGATCACCTGCAATGCGGAGAATTATACAAACTCTACTCGTACCTACTTAAATACTTCATCAAGCACTGCATTCACGAGTCACAAACATCTAACAGCGTCACATTACCGATACATACATATTTACTACTTTCATCAGATTCTTACCCCCAGCTTCCCCGTTTTAACACAGAAGTCCATTCGCTGTCTGGAACACGAATACTTCAAAATTCATCACGATACCAAAAGTTGGAGGGGTTTTTAATTAGGCAAAAATATCAACGGATTCCCTTGGGTGCTGGACCGAAACCTATAGCCATTATACTCCAGGAACTCGTCACCTATAACGATGATTTATTAGTTTTTAAATTGTTCACCAATGAGGCTCATTCGAATGATATAAATTCCAAGGAAAAGGGGATCATCATATTCATTCATCATGTCTGAAGCAGCCTTCTTTTATAATACCACGGTCCAAAAGCCTGATCGTTCCAAACCGCCATCAGCACATACAAATATCTCAGTCCATTCACAAGCACAACCCGTGAGACTATTTTCCAAAGGCAGATCCAGATCCCAATCCAAATCCAATTCACAGAGAAATGAATTGTTATCACAATTAGATTCCGATCATCCAGTTCCACCACTAAATCTACAACAAATTCGCTCCTCCCCTCCCACTCTTGTTGGGACTCCTACATCTAGAAGCGATAACCATAAGAATAACGATCCATTTTCCGAGGTATTGATCAACACGAATACTGCAACTAGCTTAACTTCGACTTCGACTTCGGGTGTTGTGGGTGTGGGTATGCTATCAACCCCTTTACTAGATTACAAACACTCCGCAAATCAAACCAACAAAGCCCGGGCCGCTTCAGAAGCGAAAGCAAAGCGCAAATCATCATCGACTTCGGGTCATTCTTCTCACAGCATCAAAAATGCAAGCGGAGTGGAACGGTATGCCTCCACCAATTCCGCCGTCCACCAGCAGAGAGGAGCTTCCGATTCCGTAGGAAGATCAAATAGTATTTCAAGTACCACTGGTTCGAGTTCCATTTCGAAAATAAATTCATTGGAGAGAGATCGTGATCGTGATCGTGATCCATTTGGATCATTATCACCAGAAGCTCTAATGGCACAACCATTTACGAAACGAAATGGTCGCCGATACCTACGAGATCCTTCATTGGCATATCCCCTACCATGCGATCTTCCAGAAATCCATCGGCAGACTTTACGAACCATGTTATTGTGTCAAGTTTTCAACGGTCCTACATGTTCATCAGCTTTCAACAATCGGCCTCCCAAACGAGTACTCGAAATTGCTTGCGGCACAGGCTTTTGGAGTGTAATGTGCCATAAACATTTTTCGCACAAAGGTCATTCTTCGATACAATTCACGGGTATTGATATCGCACCGCTAGCTCCTCGTATGGATGCAGACGATGATATGAATTGGCGATTTGTTCAGCACGACTTGAGGAAGACGCCTCTCCCTTTTCGCGACGAAGAATTCTCCCTCATTATGGTCAAGGACTTTAGCATGGCACAATCTACAAAAGACAATCCGCAACCTTTGATGGATGAATATTTACGAATCTTAAAACCTGGAGGTGTATTGGAAATCTGGGACGGCGATCATACTATTCGAATGCTCTTATCACACGCACCACCAGCTGCAAAGGACAAAGATGATTCTGTTCAAGCTCAAAAACAAATACACACTAATGCAATGGGCGCATATACCATAACACCACAAACACCATTAGCAGAACCACAAAATCAATATCTCATGGACTACAATAAATGGATATCCAAGGCCCTCGACACTCGAGATTTACCCACCATGCCATGTACCAGTATTCGACCCATGCTTCTCCAAGAAGCCGCAGTCCTCGAACAAATCGAAAGTCGAAGATTAGCAATTCCTCTTGGTGAAGTACGTTGGGAACGTGAAGGAGTCGGCGGATCTACCACCTCCCTTAACGGACTTCATGGATCGAAAGGGAAAGCTAAAGAAATTGATCGTAAACACCTTACACCGGGACAAGCGGCTCTTCGCAGAACAGCATTAATGAGCATTATACAAATGATTGATAGTTTAGAACCATTATTGAAAGAAGCGAGTGGAAAGAGTATGGATGAATGGGATCGTTGGTATGGGAATTTGATGACGGATTTGTTGAAGAATAATGGAACATCTTGGGGAGAATGTTTGGAAGTCGGTGCTTGGTGGGCAAAGAAAAAGGATCCAAAGTCTGATTTGAATACTTGAGAGGTGATTTACTGCCTTCGAATCTTTCTGGGTTTTCTCCTCAATCTTCTTCTCTTCGTATGTTTATATTGCCTACTACCATTTCGATCATTTCCTCGGCTGGCCTCCACTATATCATACCTCTTATACATCCCGCGTATGCGAATAGATTTTCCACTTCATTCTCGTCTTAAGATATCTCGATTTTGGAACAGATATCCTTTCTCATCCTAAAATATCTCGACCCCGAAATAAATCTCTCAATATCGAAGTATAGAGCCGACTGGATATATCACCGATATCATATGTTTTCCGCAAGGCTTGTATATATCTCCTACATCTGCATCTACGCCTGCATTTGCATCGGCGTATGCTATTTATCATTGGATATGATCGTCATCCTTCTTTGTATCTTTGGCGCAGCGCTCGATACCTTTTAAGATAGTACCTGGATATACCCAATATGTATTTAATCAGCTTATGTTTATATGTGTGTAAATTTGATACTTGTTATTTTGTGTGAACTTTCCACTTTAATCTTCTCAGGCTCTCACAATGGGTAATTGAGTAGACGAAGAGGATATTTGGCGATGTGGTAATGTGATAATGTGATAATGTGGTAATGTAAGTGATGTGATGGATGTAACGTACAATGCTTCAATTTCTAATCTCACCAAAACCGTTGAATCATTAGCATATGTATTCAAAAAAATCCCCTGCATTTCTCTCATTTCTTCTCCTCCCCTCTCATCCCCTTCACACCCCATCTCCTCTCTTCCCCTAACCCCCAACCCCCAACCCCCAAAATCGAATTGAACCAAAAGAAAAAGAATAGAAAAAGAACAAAACATACCCTTCCTCACAAACGCAGCCCGTTCAATCCCCGCGCGTATCTCAGCCGCAGTCGTCAAATGAGAATTGCTCATGAAGGCGCGGTGTAAACGGGTGCGGAAATAGGTGTAGCCGAGGGGGTAGGAACGCCCTAGGTTGAGGAGTTCTAGGAAGGGGGAAGGGTTACTTGGGGAGGGTTTCTTGGAGGGGAGGGGGATGATGAGAGAAGAGGAGGGGCGTACCTTTATATATCCCAATTACCTCTCTCCTCAGACTTGTCGACGAAGACATTATGTAGGTAGATACCTACTATGTGTAGAGGTAGGCAAGGTATGTAGGTATAGCACGTAGCTATTTGCTTCGCCTTCTTTGCTTACTTTAATTCGAGCTACTGAAACTTTAGCTTATCTCCCCATCCCTATCGTCATCGTCATCGCCATCGCATTGCCATTGCGATCAGAATCTGTACTTCAATTCGTACTAATAAGGGCACTTACGATGCGTGATTGAATGAACATACAATACACAATTGAACAATCGAATAATCAGTAACCAGCAACTGATCAATATCAATATGTCCAGGTGCGTTGTATCGAAAAATTCGTAAGTTTATGGTGTGACATTCGTACTGAACTGTACCGTACCTAATTAACGAACAATCAATGACGATATTTATTTATCCATCCCGACAATACGCTAATTATCACGAACTTGAACGACTATTTTCATGCCGAGGGATCAGAAGATAAACGCTCGTTTAATTGATGTAACCTTATCTAGGTAGCGAGCTACCTAGCCCATCTCGAGCCCATCCAACCCATCTACCTCAAGCCCAGTATATATCTCCAACCTTCCAGATACAATTTCAAGATCCCAAGATACTGTATCATCGATTGGAAAGATTCACAGCCCGCACTTTACGCTTTATGCTTTACTGAGACTTATCAATGAATGAATCAGATATATGTCATGTCGTACACAACCCAATTTCAGCCCGAATTTTCGAGACTTCGAGATTCCAGACTTCCAAGTGAGGAATTATGAGAAGAGAGATAGATGCGTTTGATTTACTTATCCTCGGGTTTCTTTACATTTTGTTATACTATATATCCATTATACATCACATATCCATACATTCACACTCTCGGGAGATCCGATTCTCAATTGTACCACAGTACAAGTATATAGTTCTCAATACACCCATCTAGAAAGTCTCCCAAGATCAGAGCGTCCTGGGAAAGTCTTCCCAAAAACTTCTTTAGGAGATATACAGTGACTTCCTCTTACCTAGGTAACAGATAGTATGTCCATCTACTATCATACAAAGACATAAGATACAGGTCCTCAGGCTGCACAACTTCTCCTTTTCTTCCTCCTAATATTCATCATCCTTTCCATATCCTCTCTTTCACGACTGAGAAGAGAATTCCATATCTCTGATCAAAATGCCAAATAAGAAAATAACACTAAAAATAATCAGATGAGTCCATCTGTAATTCTATCCGAGGTGAAGTCATTTCTACAGTTGCACTCTTTGACTCAAGGGCATTATTTGCGATTCTCAAACTTGCAGTCTGTTTCTGCGACTGTGTGGAGTGCAATGCAATGGACAATTTATGGAAGTAGGTCGACCCAAAAGGGTGGATGGATAAGTGCTATGGTACTTGTGGTATGTGGGTTTATTAGAGAGTATCTAGTACCTAATGATGCGTGGATAGTCTATTCTGGTATGAATGGTGGTGTATGGATGTATGAGATGTGTGGTGAATATTACTCATTGCGAAAGATAAAAGAATGACAATTTTAACCAGAAATAATTTTCAAGCTCATCCTTTCCATTTGGGATCACCATAGCTTTAAGATATTCTATAGCTACTTTGTTATTTCTTGTTATATGGCCTGGACGAGAAAATAAAAGTAATGCTTTGGCCAATTCCGAACCTACCTAGTAAGTAGCTGGGAGGATTCACTAACAGAACAGACAGACAGCAGATATCTTCTCACTTTTCTTTCCTGGGAATTTATTCCGTGTTCTGATTGAGATTTATCCATTCCATGTAGGATTCTAGAATCAATAACATCGCTGTAATCATTCTGCAGCAAGCATTTCGGAAGTGAGAGTCAGATTCAAGTATATCTCACCTCATCAGACTCAACAATAACAGTCTACAAAAACATCTCAGTGTATGAAGAACAGTATATAGACTACTATAGACATCATAGTTACATTATAAAGCACCCTCTCTTCATGATCCACTCAAGTATCTGCTCTTCGTCGCTTCATTTTTGAACTCTCACCATTCATTCATACAGTGTGAAAGAGAGTGAAAATTTACATCTGTCCGTTTATCTACGTACAATAAAGACATCTATCCTATTTGATAATCTCGATTTTTGCATATATTATTATCTGATACACTTGATCCCATTACTACAATATATTCATTCTATCCTATCCCATCTCATTTCGACCAGATAGATTAAACCGCATCATCTCACATCATATCCCATACCCCCATCGCATCAGAGATATCGAATTGAAAAATCTGTATCAGAGCAGACAAGAGTAAATTTACTATTACCAATACGCTGGATTCCCACCTACTCTCACCCACCCGCATAAAAGTATCTTCCCATACACTTTACACACCATACACATCTTAAGCATTCCCGACCGCGCAAAGGAGGACGAAATGCGACGCATTCCCTGTATATATCCCAAAAAACAAGTACACCAGAAAAATCCCGAACTGACGGCTGGTGGTCTTTTGATATCTTATCTTACGTCTCCTATTATTAGTAACATATTATATTGAAAGAGTACTTTTTTATGTAACCCTAGGTGTAAGGTTAAGGTTAAGGTTAAGGTTGAAGTTGAAATCCGATAAGACGGGATGTAATGAGATGGAGTGAAAACATAGAAAGATAAAAAACAATATTCTCATTTATCCAGCAAAACTCCTAGCAAGCTCATACTCATATATAATATGTATTTCACACATAGTAACATGAATAGAAAAGTGGAAAAGTAGAGACTTACTATCAATATCGCTTAGAATACTTAACGGATATATAAATAATAGCTATTCTGAAATAGATACAGAGTGTATTTATATATATATATGTCACGGAATTCACCGTATAGTGTAACCCTACGGTATTAATCCTAGTACTCCTCCGGAGTACTCATTCCCATGATTACTAAAACTATTTCACTCAGTTCATTTGTGTACCCTATATACCTAATTAGGCGACTCCATCGCCTGATCAGGGTATATAAAGCAGGTATGATCCTTATGATCACACCTCAAGTCAATCTAGTTATTATCACTCTATATACCTATCTCCTGATCAAAGTGACCATTAGACATAGCTATTACCTCCGTGATAATATACTATATACATACTTCTTTTTACTAGATATATATATATATGTATATGCCTAGGTACGTATATATACATATACTACTAGTATCTGTTGAACTATCAGCAGATGAATATCTATATTATATTACTATAACTTTATATACTTATCCTTCTCATTCAATTTCATTAATAGTGTAGTAATCTATATCTATCTATTTATTTATTTATATAATAAATATTTCTTATTATATATTATATCATATCTACTATCTATATAATATATAATATATTATATCACATAATATTACACTATATTATACTATAAATCACCTCAAATACAACCTAAGCACCCTCAAGCACTCTCAACTATATATAGAAAGGTACTATGAAGATATCGTGATTGAGATGGGATATGCGTTGTAAGCTGTGTATATATATGTACCTGGTAAATTTGAAGGCTAATAGGATGCGGATGCGGATGCTGAAACGTGTTGTGAGGGGAGGGATGGATTGATTAGATGATTTAAGAGGGGAAGGGGGAGAGGGGAGGAGGGGTTGGTTGGTGGTTTCTTCTGGGTATATGTGGATGGGGGTGTGTATGAGAGTGTATAGGTGTGTATGAAGATGTGAAATTGAGGAGATACTTTTTGGGGGGGTGGGTGGAGAGAGAGAGTTTTGAGGGGGCTTGTTTTGCTGTATAGATATAGATATATACTTATATATATTCACATACTACTACATATATATATAGATATTCCGTACATTCATATATATCATTTATTAAAAATCTAGATAATATCATTCAGAAAGTATATAGATCAGATAAAATGAGATGAGATAAGATTAAATGGAATATAGAGTTGAATCTTAAGGACTAATATCGAAAGAAAGCTTTAGATAATTAATTATATATAATAAGAAAAAGAAAAAAGAAGAAGGTGATAAGTAAAATTAAAGAATAAAGAAGTGAATGATTAATCTTCGAGTTGAGGATAAATATCTATTTAGATGTACTTTGTAGTTGTAGATGTAGATATAGATGTAGATATAGATGTAGATATAGATGTAGATATAGATGTAGATATAGATGTAGATATAGATGTAGATATATATAGATATAAATATAAATATAAATATAGATATAGAGAAGAATGTAGATATTTCTTAACTATAACTAGTACACTTTCAGATGCATATTCATTTCATTTCACAGAAGAGAGTTCATCTTCTTATCTTGTCTCGTCTTGTCTTGTCTTGGATTTGGATTTGGATTCATATATTAGAGTTGGGATTTGCGTGAATATTATGTCTTGAAGAGGAGGAGAGGAGAGGAAAAGGTATAGAGTACAAGGAAACTAAAGGTAAAGCCTATCTTGACTACCTACCTACGTATGTTGGATTTGGATCATGGGGATTTGCTGTGTGAGGTGTGGGACGGAGATAATCTTAGGTAGGTATGAATGGGTGGGTATATTGTTGGAGTGAGTGGTGAAAGGAGAGTGTGGTGTTTTGTTGATAGATAGTAACAGTAGATTTGAATGTTATCGTTGGTGATATAGAGATGGGTATGATAATATCATGGATGCTTTTACGATAGTACTCGTAGATGGTTATCAAGCATTCTTCTGGTCTGGGTAGGTACCTAGTACATATGGATGGATATGCTTGATCTTGATCTTGATCTTGATCTACAATCAGAGATCACGATCATCTTATGAAGAAGCATAACCTCGAAAGTGCATGCTTCGCGGAGTATAAATACAAATGTGTTAAAGGAATTGGGTAAGATGAAGTCAAAAACAAATAGTATAGTTCTTTGATTGGGATCTTTTAACTTTCGTCACCTTACGGACAGTACTCCGTAATTATTAAACTTTACTTTCTTTCCTCTAATTATTAATACAGTAGCAATAACAACAACACCTACATAAGTACCGGTACTCGAACACGCATTCATCAATCCTGATGTCGATCTCGGAGTTGATAACATGGAGCAGGAAACAATCAACCAATAATACTCTACTCTACTCTCTCGCACACTAAATTTTGCATAAGGAAAATCAATGTGACCCCAAAATGATAGATGCGGATGATCAAACGGAAACTCAAAATGAGGAGTTTGTTGGACTTCCCTTCCCCATATATATTATATACATAGGTACCCATATGGTGGAGATGGAAGATCTCTTCTCTAGAACATTTCGAAAGGCTTCTTTCTCGAGAAGGCTTGATTTTTGAGAGTTTATCGAGGTCTTTGTTTTGTTTTTGTTTGAATGTGAATGTGAATGTGAATGTGAATGGTCGGAATGGTCGGAATGGTCTGAATGGTTGGTCTTGGTGTTCTTTTCTCGCTTCGACTTGCCTGCGAATGGATGGGATTGGAGGAGTGTGGTGAATCTGTGATAGGGTGCCGGTATTTACCATTGGTTACTTACCTACCTACCTACCGTTAACGAGGTAGATGTCATGAGTGGTGGTGGGTGGGATGTATGTATCTAGTATGTATGTCTGTGGAGAAAGAGTATTCTTTAGCTACCTATTGGGTACGAGGACGGAGAGCGGAGAGCACTTACATACATATAGGAAATGTTCTATCATTCCTTCTTTGCTTTTTCGTTCGATGGACGCCGGCACAGGTACAGGAAGGTATAGTATCTAGGGATTCTTTGCATCGAAGCTTTTTGTGAACTTTTGGGTTTGGTTGCTTTTTGATTTATTTGTTGCTTTTATTTTATATTCTTGAGAGAGGTGGTGAGATGATAGTATTTTTATATGTAGACTCTACGATAGAGTGTAATGTATATATTACTTGATTGTATTTTGTATATAATATCTATCTAGTATCTAGTCTTTAGTCTTTAGTCTTTAGTATCTAATATCTAATATCTAGTCCCTATCAATCTACTTGAATATATTCAATATCTACATTCAATATCTACATTCAATATCTACATTCAATATCTACATTCAATATCTACATTCAATATCTACATTTACATACTACATACTACATACTACATACTACATACTACATACTACATACTACATACTCACTAGATATATCTCATCACACTTCATCTCATACCTCATATAGCATTAAAATTTAACCCAATTTGACGCCTTTCCCATTCACTCAATTACACCCATTACATTCCATCTAGACCTCCAAGTCGGAAAAAGGAATCTATAATTTCTCATTCAATCATTTAAATTGAACCAATCAATCGATCCACTTCTTGCAAAGGTCTTTACGAATTACGATGGAAACTATCAAGTACATTGCAGATTCTTAGTAATTGACCAGGTAGGGTATTCCCTTCTCTTGTTTATTGTTCATTGTTCATTGTTCATTGTTCATTACTACCTATCTAGGGAGGTAGTAGGTACCTAGTAGGTATTTATGATTCATCCTCCATTCTCCATTCTCCATTTCCTCGGGATAGTAACATACCTAGGTAGGTATGGCTTACCTCTGTTACCAGGTATGGCTGATGGCTGATGGCTGATGATTCATGGTTCATGGTCCACGGCTGGCTTATGGCTGGTCCCATTCTTTCTTTTGCTCCCTCCTGATTGATTTCTTCTTCAATTCCTTCCATAACTTCCATGACTTCCATCCATCCTTCTAGATCTTATCCTCATTGGGCAAAATCCGATCTGGATCCAATCAGAATTCTTCATTCTCCCCGATAGCTAAATTCAAACTCTCTTTCAACTTCTCAATTTAACATCCTAAATCTCTCTCTCTCTCTCTTCCCCCTTCCCTTTTTTCGGGGGGATGTTCCATTTCTTTCTCACCCCAAAACAGGGTATTCATTCCATTTTCTACCTGTGACCTTTGACCTTCGACCTTCGACCTTCGACCTTCTCTCTCTCCTCCCTCCCTCGTCTTTCAACGGATCCATCTCCCTTCCAAATTCTTGCTCATATTATATATCTACTTACTTGGCATATCACACAGGTGAATGTAATCAGTCTTTTCTTTCATATAGACAAACGACCGATCGACCGAAACAAAAGTACAAATAAATCCTCAATGAAGCAATACACCGGCGACAAACAACCACCACAACACTAACTGGACTCGAACTCGAATCAAATCCCCAAGGACGGTCCCTGAAGAGCTTCCCTTCCCCTCCCCTCCCCAAAAGACACACACACCACACCTTTCAATTCTTGATAACTTTTCTTCAATATCAGCTGGAGATCTCCTTTTCTTCTTCTATTGTTGTATAGCGTATAGCGTATATCACATTCTACATTCTACATTCTACATTCTCCATCTCCATTGCGACCACGAAATACAATCAAAATAATGTCCTTCTTTTGATTTCCCATTTCCCTTCTCTCCCCTCTCTCCCTTACGACATTGTTCTCCCACACATATACACACATATACACACACAATCACCGTAACGAGTATTCGCATGTACTCGAACGAATCGAATTGACCACTGTTTTTTTATTTGAAAGAAATTTGTGAGAAGGAGGGTTGAGAAGTTGATACTTCTCAACCAATACCTTGCCTATTATCTGTATAATACCACACTACACTACACTACACTACACTACACTACACTACACTACACTACACTACACTACACTACACTACACTACACTACACTACACCATAACCCAATCCTCACAAGATACATGTACTGCTGCTTCTGTCTTTGAAAGACGCAGAACCACGAACAAGACTCAATATCAGTACCATTATCATTACCAATACCAAATCAGGATTAGGATCAAGATCAAATTCAAATTCAAATTCAAATTCAAATTCAATCAAAAGCCCCTCTTTTCAACTATATCCACTCTTCGAAACTTATTCCACATTCATCACCATCCATCTGAACTCCAATTAATCGAATTTCCACTTCCGTTACACTACAGAGTCCAGAACTACCTCGATTCTCTATTACACGTACAGGGCTTCCCTGTCATTGCGAAACACTTCCAATCTACTTTATTCCTTTTACGAGATTCGGTTGCATTTTCTTTCGTACCAATTTCGAAATTCCCTCGGTCCCTTCATACCAAAATCGTCGCGCGAAGAAAAAATATCGTCATCGACTTTTCGTCAGAGAAACCGACATCCGAAACAAAGACATTGAACAGAAGGGGGAAAAAAAACAAGGGATTGATTTTCAAAACGAGACTCGGTCGATCCAAAAGCAAAAGGCGCGGCGCTCGAGCCAGCTTGCCCCCGTGCGACACGGTAATTGGGCTGTCGAGCTCAATTAATTGAACTTTTTTTCTTCCTTTTGCTTTTTACTGCCTATATTCCCATTTAATATTGGTCCAAAAGCCCGCGGATATTGGTGGTGAGCGGGTATATAGATTCGGTGTTGTGGTGTGCGAAAGATAGTGGCAGTAATGGACTACGCCGCATGCAACATTGTCTACGTGGATCGCAGAGCTCTCGAGGACAAATTGGTGCGAAGAGAGGATGTGGTGTCCAATGTCTCGACCTTGGAAAATTCGGCCCCGACCACGGATGGCGCGACGACACCACGAGCGATCAATCCGGTGGATAACAATGTGAACATTTTATTGACTTCTTTCACCGAAGGTAGGTGCCATTTAATTGAGACGGGGGGTGCTTCAATTGGTCTTGGGGTTGGACTACAATTGATGATGGAATTGACAAAATATAGTTCACGTGTGTACCTCGGGCAAGTCCTGCATGTCGAAAGTTTCCGACCTGAATCGCGAATCGACCGTGGATTTAATACCTACCCTCGTGTTGATCGAGATTCCGCACGATGATCAAGTGAATGAGCGACCTGCGAGGGATGTCCGGACGCCGTCGCCCAGTTCCAAGCAGCAGAATGACGGGATGCTGGATGATGATTTTGGGGAGGTATATGGAATACAATTATTACAATGGGTCGCATCCGAAATTCAACAACACCGCTTCTCGAAGCTCGTTGTCCCGGTCGCCGTGGTCTCCTCGTCGGAGCAAAGTCTTTCGATAGGCTCGGCAAAAAATCGTATGAGTTCGAGGTCGGAACCCGCTCCTGCAACCGGATATGATATGGGCAAACAAAATCGAAAATCGACCGGCATCTACATTCCATTAGACCAGAGACGGACCATGAAACTTTTAGACATCGGAGCTCTGGATGTCATAACTAGTCCTCTTTTGCTAGAACGATTGCCCAGTTTGGCAGTACATGCATATCGCGCGCACAAAGATGCATCCAAGGATCAGAGGGTATTGTTGGAAAAGAAGAGGGGGAGGAAGCGCTCGTGGGTTGGTGTTGAGGATCAAAAACCTTATGCATATTTAAGAGAAGAAATGGTATCTAGATTGATGGAAGGAATTTGCACGCTTAATAGTGAAGAAGTAGAAGAATATGGCCAATGGAGAGTGACGGTTTCATTAGATCGGAGAGAATTGATAGCCCAGGCCATTAGTTCCTGGCACTTTTCGGCTCATGATTTTGAGGACGATGAACTTCTTTACGCATCATCACTAATGTTCCAGCATGCACTCTCTGTACCAGAATTGGAGAAGTGGCGGATATCTACAGGTGCGTTCCAGAACAAGTGATTCGGGTGATGACCGGCCCCGGCCATGCTGACATCCGTTGCAGAAAACCTGACCGCATTTCTCATCACCAGCCGAGAAGCATACATAGTTTTTGTACCATATCATAATTTCCGTCATGTCGTCGATGTTCTTCAAGCCATCTTTCACTTTCTCGTCCGGTTAGGTAATCTTCCTGAATATCCACCCAGCCCAGATGGAACGACGAGTCAAAAATCATCGCCAATTGCCGAACTCATTAGACCATTTGATGCTCTTACCTTGATGATTACTGCCATTGGCCACGATGTAGGTCACCCTGGTGTCAACAATGCATTTCTTGTACATCTGAATGCACCACTCGCTCAACTTTATAATGATCGATCCGTCCTTGAATCATTCCATTGCGCAGCTTACTCCCAAATATTGCGTCGTCATTGGCTCGCGGCTTTCGAGGAGCGTGATATGCGACATCTCATGATAAGCACAATCTTGGCAACAGATATGGGTTTGCATTTCGATTACATGAAGAAGCTTGGCTATCTTCAGGAAAAGCTCCATGAAAATGGTGGTGTTACGGACGGTTGGAACGGTCGAACGATCGAAGATCAACGAACACTCGCCTGCTCTCTACTAATCAAATGTGCAGACATAAGTAACGTGGTATGTTAGATGGACACTACCAAAGAAACTTAATCATTGACACGAATGCAGGCGCGAAAATTTGATACCGCAACTCGATGGACCGAAATATTGACTGATGAGTTCGCTCGTCAAGCATCTATGGAACAAGATTTGGGTATACCAACGGCGTTGTATGCGGCTCCTGTTCGAGAAGTCATTGAACTTGGCAAATCTCAAATAGGTTTTATGAATATGTTTGCCATACCATTATTTGGTGGTGTGACTGATGTCATGCCCGGTATGGCATTTTGTGTCGAGGAATTGGAGCGAAATAAAGCTGCCTGGGAGAGCAGGATAGCATTGGAACAAGAGAGAATGAGACAAGAAGATGGTTTCTTGGGACTTCCTGATAGTATGCACTCAGGCATGCGCTCTCCCCGTACGATGAGTATTGCCCAGCCATCTCAGGATGAATCTGCTAGCCAAGATGTCACCTCGAGATCAGGCGAACCCTCAAACATCCGTGTCCAAGCAATGCTTAACAAAGGCCCATTTCGACAATATTCAAATGATGAATCGCCCAAAGGTACGAAACAGGGAACAATCGAACTTCCCCAGTCAGCGACCTTGCCTGATCGAAGATCATCAAAACCCAGTTACCTTCAACTGAGTTACGCAACCGCAAGTGCACCAGGACTTCTCGATCACCCTGGCCAAGACGTAGAAATCTTTGCAAATGGAGATCGACAAATCAATGGCGCGCTCGTTCAGCCATCCCTTTCTACGGACGTGGTAGTGGTAGATCCACCCACACCTAAAGAATTCATCCCGCCAAACCAAAGAATTAGTGAAACTACAACTGAGGGTAGCAACTCAGGTTCTGCTGGAGAATGGTCTGCAGGTGCAACCACGAACAACAAAAGCCCCTTTTCACCTAGTACTCAAGCGACGAGCTTTGCGAGCGAAGATTCGAATAATGATAGAGCTGTCACACCTACTCATGCATCCCCACTAATTAATAGTTCGAGTCATTCTTCCGCGGGCTATGATAAATCAAATCATTCCACAAACGATGGATCGAGTTTGCCGGAAGCGAGTTCGGATCTTAAAGTCTTAGCGGAGACGGGGAGAAACTTGAAAAAGAAACCCAGCCGGTTCAGAATGAACGGATTACATTTCTGGAAGAGGAAAAATGGTAATCCGCCAATGCCAGCCGGAATGCCGGATAAGCAGGAGTCTGACGGGACGGCGGGTTGAAGCGAAGTAAAAAAGGAGTAACACGAGAATGAAATACACAACTCGACGAATTCACTGACGATAATGTTTTGAGATGAGATTAAGATTTTGGTACGGCAATCGGGGATGTTTTGTTCAGGTTCTTGTTTGTATGATTATTTTATTTGTTTCTGTACATTGTACACGATGTGGTCATTTGTTTTTGAGGTATTTCTTTCGAATCTTGCCACCTCCAAGGGTAATCGAGGATTAAAATACCTCTGTGTTTATGGGTTTATTCAAAACAAAGACGGGATTGGCGTTTCAACTTTTCTTTCCTTTTTTTTTTTCTCCTTCTTCTTCTTCTTCTGGCATGGGGATGGAAGATGGATGGGTTTCAAATCCTCCAGATCGATTTGAAAGGTGTGGATGGCGTTCGACTTTTTTTTATGTTAATGGATGGTTGGTTTGGTGCTTGCTGGATGCATATTTGCATGAATGGATGCTGATTGCTATTGGGGAAATTGGAGGGAAGGGGAGATGGGAGAGGAGAGGAAACAACGTTTTATATCCAAGTTGGTAGGCAGGTTAGACTTTTGGGCTTCTAGGCCAGGGGGGGATATAGGATGGGATGGATGGTAATACATCTGGGGATGGGAATTTTAAGTATGGTTTGGAGCTGGGCTTGGGGTATTTTTTTTTCCTGACGGGGTAGATATGGATCTGAATGAATTCTATATGGATTCATGGCGAAGGAGAGGATTGTAGTTGCCCGCGTGAAAGTCATGTCGAGTATATTATTATGAAGTGGGAGGGGGATGATAGTGGTTGAGGAGAAGAAAATGGAAGAATGAAGGAAAGTAGATTAAATTTTCAATCCAACACATTTTAATGCTTTGCTTTGTATTAAAGCGCGAGCAAAATAAACAAGCAAAGAATCATTCAATCAAAGTTTCCACAAGTTCTACTGGAGATGTTTGTGATATCAAGGGCAATGAATGATTACTAGATCCTCTTCTTCTCATCATTCTAGAATCTATAGTGAGGGCTATTTTGAAAAGCTATAAGATACCTAATAGATTTATTAGAGTTATACGTATACAACAATATCTATACTTTTGGGAGTTGCTTTATACGAGGATGTAAAAGCTGCATTGATGTATCCGTTTATCGATCTTCTTATAAAATTGTTAGTAAGAGTACCTAGGCACATACCATCAGTGTGATACGCCGGTCAAACTCTGGTCCGTTACACCCCGCGCCTACCATACATAGCTAGTACCTACCTACCTAGATACCTAGCCAGAGCTTTAAGCTTGGAACGAATCAATTCTATCAATTCCCATCATTCATCATTTAATCATTTCCATCATTCTATCATTCCCACTCTTCACGACTTCTCTATATTACATTGTACATCAAATTGCAAAGTCTTGTTAGACGTACATACCTACAATTCAATCTCTCATTGCGATACCCTAAGATGGCTTTTTGACTGTTTCTAATTAATTCTTAATACGAACGAAAACAATACTTGTAACTTATCATTCTTCTCTGTGCGACTCACCATGAAATGCTATAACCCATCTGCGTTTGTTCCCATGGCGGTTACATTGGTAACCGTCATAATTTATCTCGGTGTTTTCATACCTCTCCTCATCATTCAAGAGACTGTACCTTCAGCTCCCGATGACCCTACTCTTTACAATGGCTTAAATCTTACGGAAGCTTGGCTCGATCTTCAAAGCTTGAGTGATGGTTATCATCCTTTCAATAGTCGCAAGAATGACGATGTGCGAAACTGGTTATTGAAGAAGATCGATGAGATACTTAATCATAATCAGATTCAGTATACCATCGAAACCGACAGCGCCACGATCTCTGAAACTCAAACCCCGTCCGATTTCGTCGCAGAAGCTCCTGAGTCGGCATCGAGTCCTAGTAACGCCAATGACGATCCTGCAGGATATTACCATGGGGATCTGCGAACACGTAAAGAATCGCCGGCGGTTACTGTATTCAATGATTTACGTTCAAATTATTCTAGCAATGCTCTCACCAGTATTGGGGTCAAAGGACGGAAGCTTGGGATAAGCACATACTTTGAAGGAAATAATATCATATGCTATATCCGAGGTAGTGATGATGAAGAGGGAGAGTGGTGGAAGACTGGATCCGTTAACTCCAAAGGAAAGGTTCACGGCAAAGGCGGTGTTATGGTCAATGCCCATTTCGATAGTGTCTCGACGGGCTTTGGAGCTACAGACGATGGAGTAGGAGTTGTGACAGCACTTCAATTGATCCGCTATTTCACGACGCCGGAAAATAGACCACAGAAAGGCTTCGTTGCCCTGTTTAATAACGGTGAAGAGGATGGCTTATATGGTGCGAAAGCATTTTTGTCACATCCAATGGCAAAATTTGTTCATACTTTCTTGAATCTGGAAGGTGCTGGGGCGGGTGGTAGAGCTACCTTGTTCCGGAGTACAGATTCCGAGGTCACTCGAGCTTATGCACACGCCAAACATCCTTTTGGGACAGTTGTTAGTTCGGACGGATTTTCGTTAGGATATGTGAGAAGTGAAACCGATTATGTTGTTTTCCGAGCAGAAGGTTATCGTGGATTGGACGTGGCTTTTTGGCAACCAAGATCTCAATACCATACCGATCAAGATGATGCTAAACATACATCGATAGATTCATTATGGCACATGTTATCGGCATCTGTTGCTACTACTCGATCTCTTACCAAGGATACTAGTAATACATTTTTGGGACCACGTGGTGACGATAAAATCGGAAAAGTCAGCAATGGGAGAGGCTCTGATGGTGTTTGGTTCGATATATTTGGCACTGTTTTTGCAGTGTTCAAGCTGAGAACTCTCTTTGCCTGGTCACTTACTTTACTCATTACAGCCCCATTGATGCTCTTCGCCGTTTCATATCTTCTTAATCGACAAGATAAATTCTACTTCTTTGCTGGATCTATCAAGGCTAAGAATCCTGAAGACGAACCTATTTCTCTTGGTGGATGGCGTGGTGCCTTTCGCTACCCTATCACTCTGATCATTACCAGTGCCATTACCTTTGGTTGCGCATCGCTGATCAACAAGATCAACCCTATGATTGTCTACTCTTCTCCCTACTCTGTATGGAGTATGTCTGCGAGTTTATTCTTCTCGATATTCTGGTTCATCATGGCTGGTTGCAATTTCGTTAGACCTTCCGCACTTCAAAGAGGTTATGCCTTTATGTGGTTGTTCGTGTTTGGTTGGATTATTCTTGTGGCTGCTACAGTATATGAAGATCGCTTCAAAATAAGCGGTGGTTATTTGTTCGTGTTTTACGAAGCTGCAATTTTCCTTGCTACTTTGATCGCCATTGCTGAACAATTTGCGTTGCCTAAAAAATCTATTTACGTTGAGAATGCTCAACACGACCATGACGGCAATCAAGATTCTCATCATCAAGCCGTGATGGGTACTGATGGGGCCAATGGGGCTGATGGAGCTAATGCTGACAATGGAGTGGGACACGAAGAAGACTCAGAAGATAATGTGAACGGAATGGCAATTCCTCATGAGACAACTCCACTTATTGGTGGTGGAGCACCTACTCATAGCTCTTCAGTTAGCACTACTTTTGCTAATCGATATCGACAAGTCGTGCCAGAATCTTATGATGGGCCAACTGATCATCACGATACAAAGGGTCATAAGAAACATCCCTATGGAGGTGAACAGGACTGGTCTGCCAAATTACCTATCTGGACCTGGCTGGTTCAATATCTCCTTGTTGGTCCATTCATATTAATTATTGTTGGACAAGTTGGTCTATTCTTAGTAGCTGCTCTACATCAAACGGGAACTGATGGTAGTCCACTTCTTTTACCATACCTTGTTGTTGCTGTATTCTCCATTCTATTATTACTTCCAGTAACACCCTTCATTCATCGACTCACACATCATATGCCAACATTCTTCTTCCTGGTCTTCATCGGGACTCTCATCTACAATCTTGTCGCCTTCCCTTTTTCGCCTAACAATCGATACAAAGCTTATTTCCAACAAACCGTCGACCTTGATACTGGTATCAACAAAGTTACGCTCGTAGGAATTGAAGAATTTATTCGCGAAATCATCGCTTATATCCCAAGCGCAGCAGGTCAAACTATCAATTGTGAAGAAAATCCTCGAATTCGTTCTGGTCTCTCATTTTGCTCTTACGATGGCATTGCTCCTAAAGTGGTTGATAATGTTGTGGATGGCATTCCGCCTGAGAAGGGATATGCGGATTGGCTCACGTATAATGTTACCAGAGTTCCAAACGAGAATAAAGCTACATTCCATATCTCGGGTCTTGAAACTCGCGCTTGTATTTTGAGATTTGATGATCCATTCTCGGAATTCAAAGTTCATGGTGGAGCGAAAACGGAAGAGAGATGGGATGATGTACCGGATAGTGGAAGTGATCAAATTAAATTGTGGAGTCGGGATTGGGATAAAGAATGGAAGGTGGATGTCGAATGGGCGGTAGGAGAAGATATGAAACCGGGTGAGGAGGGTAGAACGGGAAGAGTAGTTTGTTTGTGGAGTGATGCTAATAAGAGAGGAGTTATTCCTGCGTTGGATGAAGCGAGGAGATTTAGTCCTGATTGGACAAGTGTTGTTAAATTGATGGATGGATTGGTGGAGGGAAGTAAGAGGTTTGTTGTTTAAGTTTGGGTGGTGGGAAGGGGGGTGAGAGAATTTGATATTCCTTACGGAATGAGTGAGGGGAAGAAGAAGGGGAAGGGGGGGGGAAATTCATAGGCAGGCGTTATTTGGACGAGAGAGAAGTATACGTGTTTTTGAAGGGTACGATACGATGGATGGTATGATTGGTATTTTTAAACGAATGAGTGTACGTTAATGAGAATGAGAATGAAATGATTTGGCTTGATGAATTATGAGATTAGTGATTTGATAAGAAGATTCAAAGGAGTAGGTAGGAATGGCTTGTAGTATGGATAAGAGGAGTTGGAAAAAAGAACTTGCTACTGGTCGGCTGTCTTGATAGTAAATACGATGTAGGTAAGGTTAAATAAAATGGGAATTGATTCGTAGCGAGTTAATACCCGCGCCTTTTAGAGGATAATAACTGAATGCGATCTCTTTTGTCTTCTATGAAAGGCGGAGCTGCGCTTAAGATATCTTTCACGTACCGTAGTTCTCTCGGTAAGCAGCTTACCTAGTACGTGCCTAGGTATTAGACTTCTGCAGCTCTTTAGATTGCTTCGTTAAAGAGAATCTCTGATTCGTTTACTGCATCTATTTTCACATTGTGGAGCTGGCTCACTACCCAAAGAGTCGAGGTGCTGCAGACTGAGTCGAGATGTCTATTCTGATTGGATGTGTTTGCTTTATTGACGAATTCATTCCCTGATGAGGATCTCGAATGGCGTGCGAACCAGGTAAGGTTAATGGGTGAGATAAGATATGCTGCTGCTGTGTGCCATTGTTACAATGTAGGACTTCACACTTTATAAATCATATGTGTTCACTCCCAGCTGTGACAACGATATCCTAGCTGGAAGAGTTTATTATGATCAATATGATATCCGCATATGGAGTGTCCTCTATGACATTTCTTGTCGTTGTAGCATGTATCACATCATCTATAATTTTTTGGCGAACCTTCTTCAAGAAACCACGATATCCATATCCACCAAGTCCGCCGGGAAAACCAATCTTAGGACATATTCGATTAGTTCCCACGGACGATCCGCATTTGTACTATCAAAAGTTGTCACGGCAATACAGTCAGTAAACTATCTCTACCATATCTTTTTCATTATGCTAACCTACCAAAAGACACAGATATACTATATTTCCAACAATTTCTTACACCAGTTGTGGTGTTAAATACCGTCAAAGCTGCAGATGAACTTCTTTCTAGGA